CCTTGGGGCGCCGTGGTGGGTCCTCGGCCCCCGCCACCTGAGGTGAAGCTCCACCGGTTCCCGGGCATCCTTACATCTGCTGCTTTGGTGGCACCCCTGTCCCTTTGAGAGCCCCATCTGAGGAACAGGAGCTGCTGGCTCCTCCTTCGCTGGCTGCTGCCATAATCGCTCCAGCAAGGGCAGCGGGCGAGACATCCCTGCCGCACCCCCCACCCCTTTCCAGGGCCCCTTTTTCTGTGATGACTTCAGAGAGGGAAAAGTCTCTCGCAGGCTCCAGGGACAGTTTTCTGCAGACGTTTCTGTTTTGCCATGTGCCCTGAGTTTCCCTTTCGAAAATACTTGTCACTTTTGACACAGGTTATTCTCCCCCAGAGCAGGCTGAGTCTGTCTCTCCACTCATGTCCCCAGTGCCTTCTGCCATGCCTGGCATCTGGTGGGTGCTCCGTAGATGGCCTGACTGGCAGAATATTCCCATCAGCCCCCAAACACAGGTAGAACACTGTTGGGAAGGGTTTTCTTGTCCCTGTTCTGTTGCACCAGGATACCTAGTTCCAACCAGGCTGGGCTTCATTATCACAGAACCAGTTCTAGTCATGGTCTCCGTCCCCCTTCAGGCTCGAGCACGTGCAGCTCCTTCTGCCTGGAACACTCCTCCACTCTCACCAGCCGCCTCTGTTCCTCTCTCCCACCTCAGCCCAGGAAACCTCCCCAGACGCTCCTTGGGGCTCCATAGCCTGTTGTCTTGTGGCACTTGTCACACTATGTTGTTGTCACCTGGTTCCTTATCTGTCCCTGGAAGGGGGGGAAAGTGGTTTGTTCGTGGCTGTGCTGCCTCACCCAGCCTCAGGTGCACTGGGTTCCCCTTCACTCCTTTGGGCAGCTCGCTGGTGCCCCCTCCCCAACTCCAGACTTGTCACCTGGGGAATGACATCTCTCCAGCCCCCTTGGAGCTGCCGCCCCCCCTTCCTCTCTTCTGCTGGCTTTGCTTCTCAACCTTGCCCTCAACAGCCATTTACTGAAAACCTACTATGTGCCAGGCACTGCCCTTAGTGCTGAGGTGAGCAAAAACGATGAAGCCCTTGTCCTCAGGGAATAGTTGGGGAGCCAGGCAATGAATAAATCAACAAACTAATACATAATTTAATGTCCCAGGGAGTAAGTGTTATGAAGAAGAATAAAGCAAGGTAGGGTGGGCAAGCAGGGTCTCTGTGAGAAGGTGACATGAGCATAGACCTGGGTAAAAGAAGAGACAGAACTATGTGTTTGGGGAGGAACCTTCGTCATAGAGGGAACTGCAAGTGCAAAGGCCCTGAGGCAGCCGTCCCTGGGGCTGTTCATCCACTGCAGTCTTCCCTCCTCAGCTCTGTGGCCCCTCTTTGCTCTGTGTTCATGTGGCAGGCATCCGTAGGAGACTAGTGTCTGTTCTCCTACACCTTTATCTTTGTCCTGCCTCCAGAAGGGACTGAGGATCTGGGTCATTTTTCTTTGGAAACTTCCCACTATTCCTCTGGCAGGGGTGTGGTGTCTCCAGAACTGTTTTTTGACTGACTGACTCACTGACTCACTGACTGGCTGGAAGGCTTTCACTGCCCTGTAGAGGAATCCTCCCCTCTGGTACAGAATGTAGAAGGTGTTCTCTCCTCTCTTGCAGACGCCGGCTGGGCCCCCACGTCTGCCTCTCAGGGTTCGGGAGTGGCTGCTGCCCTGGCTGGGCACCCTCCATGGGCAGTGGGCACTGCACCCTTCGTAAGTGCCTGTCTCTGTGCCCCGAACGTCCTCCACAGAAGGGCGCTCATTCCCTGGGCTGGCCTGAGGGGCAGATTGGGGACCCCAGCCCCCCACTCCCTCACCTGCCTTTCTCCTCTCAGCCCTCTGCTCCTTTGGCTGTGGGAGTGGCATCTGCATCGCTCCCAACGTCTGCTCCTGCCAGGATGGAGAGCAAGGGGCCACCTGCCCAGGTAACTGGGGGTGGGGTGGGGCAATGCTGATGGGAAGAACTCAGTTTTCACTGAGATTATGTGCTAGGCCCTGGGCACTTGTGCCCTGGCATATTGTCTTCAAACAACCCCGTTAGATAGCATTCTCATTCCCATTTTATAGATGAAGAAACTGAGGCACAGAAGCTAGTGACTAGCCCAGGGTTGTATGGCCAGCAAGTGGCAGAGCTGGATTTAAACTCAGGCCTGTTTGCCTGCAGAGCCAATTTCCCAAGAGGATTTAGGAGGAGCCCAGGGAGGTGGGGGCTGCTGGGACTGTGGCCTGGTGCATGCTCACGGGTGCGGTGCCTGTTTTAGAAGCCCACGGACCCTGCGGGGAGTATGGCTGTGACCTCACCTGTAACCATGGCGGCTGTCAGGAGGTGGCCCGAGTGTGCCCTGTGGGCTTCTCCATGACAGAGACAGCTGTCGGCATCAGGTGTACCGGTGAGAGGCCTGGGGACCGTGGGGAGAGGGTGGGTGGTCCCGGTCCTGCCAGGATGGTTTCCGGAGAGATGCCAGAGCAGAGCTGAGCGTGGAGCAGCTCTGAAGTTTGAGAGTGGGCAGGCAGGCAGGTGAACACATGAAATCTGTCCCTTCTGCTACTTCACAAATACTCACAGGGCTCCTCTTATGGGTCAGGAACTGAGCTGGGGCTGGGGTTACGGGGGCAGCCCTTGCTTTTATGTTGCTTCAGAATACGGGGCAGGGAGACAAGTAAGGAAGATGACCGTCCCCTGTGAGGGGACCATTACTTGTGGAGTGGACGGTGCTGGGGCCCACGGGGCACAGGGAACCAGGACTGGAGCGGAGGTCTGACCACCAAAGGCTCCCTCGGAAAAGTGACATTTGAAACTTGAGGCAAACGAAACTCAATGGTTATTTTGTAAAAGTATTATTTGTTTGTATTTTAAAAAAGCTCCCATGGGTGAAGTCTGTGACCTTCCCCAGAGGCAGCCACTGTGACCAGCTTCTTACATAGCTTTCCAGAGAGCTGAAAGCCTTTTTTTTTTTCAATTTGAACTTTGTAAAAATAATATTTCTTCCCCTGAATATAAAAGTAAAAAGTAACTTATTTTGGAACATTTGGAAAGTAAAAGGGTAGAAAGATGAAAATAAACATCTCTCAGAAGTTCCTACCCATAGATATTTGTTACTAAAATGAAGTTATTTTTTTTTTCTGCCCTTTCCTCTGGGTGTGTCTGTGTTTGTGAGTGTGTGTGACTGTGCTTATGTGTGTCAGGCGTGTTTGTGTGTTTTATAAAATTGGGATCATACCTTTTTTATTGCTTTCGTTCATTATTTTTCTCACTTAACTTGGTGTCTTGAGCAGGAAATTGTCCTTACAACATAATTATTAATGGCTGCAGATGTGGCTGCTGTAATTCAAGTCCCTAATTCTGTGCCATCCATCATTAGCTTGTCTGCAATGTTTTGCTGCTATAAATAATGTTGCAATAAAGAGGCTTCTGGTTGGCCTCTCTGATTATTCCCAGAAGGAGAACTACGGGGTCAAGGGTCTCATGAAGGAGTTTTGGTTGAAGTCCTTTCCACACACACATGGCCAAGGCAAACTGGACCAAGGGAAAAGCCAGAGCCCAATGTCAAAGCAAGCACAGGGCAGGGGGGCACTGGCCACCATCATGAGGGGCCCCGTGGGATGGGGTGAGTCAGGGTGAGCTCCTTAGAGGTAGTGAGTATGGCCCCAAAAGGCCCGCCGTGGGAAGAGCAAGAGAGGAGAATGGAGGTGACCAGCAGGTGTGGGACCAGGGGGCTGGATGAAGACTCAGGGGCCGACTGGAGTGGGCAGAGCTGATCCCATAGGCCCTCAGGAACCGCCATGGTTCTCAGATAGGAAGGGATGCCTTGAAGTTGAAATGCAGAGCTGTCTCCCCTCTCCCCGCCCCTGATCTGAACCTCCTTAAAGTACTACTTGGATCCAGTCCCCCTACCCTGGGCAGAAGCCTTGGTGACCCCTTTGCACTCCACAGCCAAGCCTTAACCCACCACCTCTCAACTCTGCCTCCCACTTCTCGGACAGGAACCTAATCTCTGGCCAGACTGCATTCCCCATCCTTCCAGGAAGCTTCTTAGACTCTCTCTACTTGACGGCTCCCTCCTCCTGACACCTCCTGGACCTTCCAGTCCAGCTCTCCTCCAGTGCACCCCTGCTGTGGCCAGGCGGTCCGTGATGGGGCACGTCTCACCGGCCACATGCTGGCCTCTCGTGGGCGTGTGTTGTGGCTCCTACATTCTCAGGCTGCAGCCATCTGGAGAGTCAGCAGTGTCTTAGTCACACTTGTGTCCTCGGCAGCTTCCCCCTCCACCCCTCTAGGTCTGCTGCACACAGGCAGTGCTCCAGAAACACTTAAGGGAATTTAATCAGCCTTTCTGCCCACTCCCGTCTGCCTTTTGGGGTTGCCCTGTAGGTGGGACCGTTGGAAATGATTTTGTCTCTGCCAGCCTCTCTGTCATCTGTTCTGTGTGGTTCAAAAAGAGGCCTGGCCCGTCGGCCTCTTCTTCCTGGGGGCTCCCTCATAGCCAGATGACTTCCTTGGGGTAGGGTGGGGGTTCCACCCTGCCAAGAGCAGGCCCCATGTGGACACAGAGTCATTATGGGATGGGTTTTCTCCCTGCCCCCGAACCATGATCAGAGTGGGCTGTTCAAGAATGTTTTCTGTCTCCCCAGACATCGACGAGTGTTTAAGCTCCTCCTGCGAGGGCCACTGCGTGAACACGGAAGGCGGGTTCGTGTGTGAGTGTGGGCCGGGCATGCAGCTGTCTGCTGACCGCCACAGCTGCCAAGGTGAGCGGCTCTGGGAGGGGTCATGGTGATGGCGTCGCCACTGCTGTTAGACTCTGACCTTGTACTCAGGGCCCTTGCGGTCCCAACCTGTGCTCTCTAGGCATGATCGCGTCTCACCTTCACCCCGACCCCTGAGGGAGATATTGTTAGCATCCTCACCTTACGGATGAGGAAACTGAGGCTTCAAAGCCATTCTGTCAGTAAGAGGAGGAGTCAGCTTGCATCCAGGCGTGTCTGACTCTAGGGTCTTTTCTCTGGATCACGACTCAGGAGAAACTGCTAGTGCCTTTATTATAGGGTAGGGGTGGGAGTGGAGGAGAGGCTGAGGGGAGAGCTCAGGGCAGGCAGAGCAGACTAACCTGAGGGAGGAGGCCGCTGAGATGGAGGAGGCCAGAGGGGACAGGGCTGTGGGAGAGGCACGCTGTGATGGACTCACTTCATCCATCCGCCCCGTGCTGGGCCAGGCTCTGGAGACACACGGTAGGAAAACATCCTGCCCTTCAGCAGCCCCCACCTGGTGGGCAGGGGAAGAATAAAGAGGCTGGGATGAGGAGTAAGTGCTGTGGGAACCCAGGGGAGAGAAGGCATCTTTTCTCCAAAGGGAATGGGATGAGAGAACTCATCTATAAAACAGAAACAGACTTGCAGGCGTAATAAACAATCTTATGGTTACTGGGGGAAAGGGAATGGAAAGGGGTAAATTTGGGAGTCTGAGATTTGCAAATGTTAACCGTTATATATAAAAATAGATAAAAAACAAATTTCCTCTGTGTAGCTCAGGGAACTATATTCACTATCTTGTAATAACCTTTAATGAAAGAAAGAACATGAAAATGAATGTGTGTATATATATGCATGACTGGGACAATGTGCTATACACCAGAAATTGACACATTGTAACTGACTATATACTTCAATTAAAACAAAAGAAAGTAATTATTCATTCTGTAAAAATGACTTCTATTTATAGAAATCAAGGAAACATTCTCTCTTTAATAAGGCAGCAAAGACAGAAGCTCCCCTTGATACTTGGTACCATTTTCTGTGTGTTTGAAATTTTTGTAGATTATTTAAAAATTTTTAGAAGTCATGGCCCTAGCCTCAGGCCCTCTCTCTCACTGCCAAGCTCTGCTCTCCCTAGAGAATAACCCTGGTATCTTAGTATCTGCTTGGGCCACTATAACAAAATACCACAAACTGGGTGGCTTAAACAACAGAAATTTATTCTTACAATTCTGAAGGCTGAGAATTCCAAGATCAAGTTGCTGGTCCATTCATTTATTGGTGAGGGCTCTCTTCCTGACCTGCAAAAGGCTGCCTTCTCTCTGCGTCCCCACAAGGCAGAGAGAGAGAGAGAGAGAGCAAGCTCTCTGGTGGCTCTTCTCCTAAGGGCACTAATCCCATCAAGAGGGCCCCACCCTCCAGACCCCATCTCAACCTAATTACCTCCCAAAGGCCCCCCTCCTATTACATCACACTGGGGGTCAGGGCTTCCATATATGAATTGGAGGGAACATAATTCATCTGTAGCACTTGGTTATCAACCCGATGAGTGCCCTGCCTGCCCCTCCCTAGTACGGGTACATACACACACTTGCATTTACAGAGATAGGATAATAAGAGACGAGTGGCTAACAGTTGTTGAACTCCTGTGTTCCAGGCACCATGTGAAGCACTTAAAATGCATTTTCTCATTTCATTCTCAGAATTATCCTATGAAGTTGGTACTGTTTATTTCCATTTGCCTGATAGGAATATTAAGGCTTAAAAAATGAACTTGCTCACAATCACGTTAGAGCTGAGATTTGATCCCCATTGGTCCTCTGCTTGTTTTTTTCCCTTCAGCAATCTGTCTTGAAGATATCTTCACATCAGGGTCAACAGACTTGCTTTATTCTTTTTAACTGTTGCCTGGTACTCTGCAATGCAAATATCTATAGTTTACTAATGCTTCTCTTATTGATGAACATATAGATTATTTCCAGTTTTTCATAATTTCAAACAATGGCTTGGGGAAGCTTTGACAGAGGAGGTGGTTTAAAAGCTGGGTTTTGAGGTATGGGTAAAAGTTTTCCAGCCAGACAAGTTGGGAAGGCATTCCAAGCAGAAAGGAGAACATGGGCAAAGGGGGAGGGTCACAGGAGCATTTAGAAGATGGCAAGAATTTAGGCCAGAGTAAAGAGAAAGGGGCAAGGAGGGAGGTGGGAAAGGCAGCCCAGGGCTCATGAACTCTGGTGCAGCATTGGTGCTTACTGGAGCCTTGGAGGGGTTTTAAGCAGAGAGCAGCCTGATCAGGGTGCCTTTTGGTCAGAACATCCAGGAGGCTGTGTAGAGGGTGGCTTGGGAGGAGCACGGGGAGAGGCAGAGAGACACACAAGGCTGTTGTTATCTTCCAGGCTAGAGACAAAGGTGCCCTGGGTGGACTCGGGTGTGGCGGTGAGGCTGGAGAGAAGTGGACTGGTCCAGGGGGGACTTAGGAGTTGACAGACTGAATATGGGTGGTGAGAAGGAGATGGGTGAAGAGTCCGGTAGGAGATGTCAATAAGGGAGGCAGGGAGGACCACCTATTTCCAAAACTCCAGGGGGAAATCATCTCCAGCTGTGTCCTGTTCCCTTCAGACACTGATGAATGCCTTGGGACCCCCTGCCAGCAGAGGTGTAAAAACAGCATTGGCAGCTACAGGTGTTCCTGTCGAACTGGCTTCCATCTCCACGGCAACCGGCACTCCTGTGTAGGTAAGGCCGGGGACCCTGTTGTCTTCACACTGACGCTGCCAATCAGGAAGATGGACAGGCTGAGCCCAGGGACAAGGAAAGGTCAACAGCCTGGACCTCCTGGTTCCCTGGAGCCTGCGAGCGCTTGAGCCTTTGCTCAGAGCTGGCCTTTCCCCTGGGGTTGGCGTGGCTCCTAATGGAAGACCCTGTCTTGGGCTTTTCCTGGCCCCATGCCACTTTCATCCTGTTATGTTTCTCTTCCACCCTCTCCCAGATACACCCCAAGGATTCCTCTCTGCTCACCCATTTTCTTGGCTGCCTTTGCTCCCCTGGGTAAATAAAGCACGTTATGTCTTGGTTCCTCTGGTTTAGAAGGAGACCCCTGTTTTCTCAGCCCATTAGCAGAAATTTCCAGAAAGGGATTGGCATGTTTGGCTGGAGCTTGGCTCATGGGTTGAAGGTGGGGTCCCATGGGCCTGAAAAAAGACCTTGTTCTAGCAGAGCTGGGTGTTTGTCCTGAAGCCTGCCCTGAGCAGTGCAGTGATTTTTGAGACTTTTTCAGAAGGGCCCACACCACTCGACAGTGCCTGACAGTGGGATGGTGGAAGGTTTGGAGATGAGATCCCTAGTGGGGCCCATCCCCACCAGCCAGCACTTAACCACTGCTCACAGTGCTGGGGCATAAGTTACTGGTGCATCCATTAAGTGACTACTGGATGTATGAACCTTCCAAGGGACTAGCACCAGATTTCAGCTCCACTCCCGGCCCTCTGAGTCACATCCGCACCCTAGGGCAGGGATGGACCCCTTCAGAACGTGGCAGGGAGACTCCCACAAGCCTTTTGGGCCAAGGGATGGAGGAAGAAGGACTCTGTAGCGGGGACAAGGCAGCCGTTGGTAGCGAGGCTCTCCCGCAGATGTAAACGAGTGTCGGAGGCCGCTGGAGAGGCGAGTCTGTCACCATTCTTGCCATAACACCGTGGGCAGCTTCTTGTGCACCTGCCGACCTGGTTTCAGACTCCGAGCTGACCGAGTGTCCTGTGAAGGTGAGTGCCGGCCCCGCCCTCTCGGCCCCAGGCCTCACCCTCCCGGAGCTGGCCCCTCCCCGGCCCCGCCCTCCCAGCGCCAGGCCCTCTTCCTTCCCCTGAACCTCAGCATCTCCTCCTAGGAAGCCACATCTGGGTGATGGAGGAGGGGACACACTCTGGACTTGTCAGGACACAGGAGTAGGGAAGGGTCATTCCCAGAATGGATCTCTGAGGGCTTAGAGAAGGTCTGCCTGGCTCAGGAAACCTGAGTCTCCTCTGTGGCTGTCGAGGAAGGGAAGGGAGAACAGTGTGATTTTGCAGCGTCTCAGGCAGCTGGACCTCCAGCATCACCAGCTGGTAACTTCTGTCTGCTCCTTTGGTACTTTTTCATTGGTCTTCTTCCCTGGTCGTCACCACTGCCCCCTCAGTTTGAGTTTAAACTGATGGTATTAGACCCATTTTATGAAGAAACTGACTCAGAGACATTGAGTGACTTGCAGTGCTGGAGCTGAGTCCAGGCCCCTTGAATCTCACCTCTGACCCCTGTGGCTTCCCTCAAGACACCTCTTTGTTTCCTTTGCAGCTTTCCCAAAAGCCGTGCTGGCCCCATCAGCCATCCTGCAGCCTCTGCAGCACCCCCCTAAGATGCTACTGCTGATTCCAGAGGCAGGCCGGCCCGCCCTCTCCCCAGGACACAGCCCTCCTTCTGGGGCCCCAGGGCCCCCAGTGGGAATCAGGCCCACCCGACTGCCATCCCCCACACCTGCACTACCCGTGTCCTCCCCCTCTGCCCCGACGCAGCTGCTGTCCACCCCGACGACCATCCCCGTGCCCAGTGCCTCTCTCTTGTGGACCCTCAGACCTCCTTCACAACTCCAGGAGAAGGTGGTGGTGACCCCTTCCATGCCCAGGGGCCTGGAAGCCACACGCCTGGCACCAGCACCCCCTGCCTGTTGGCACCTGGGAGCCATGTATGAGTCGGGGAGCCGCTGGACAGAGCCTGGCTGTTCCCAGTGCTGGTGCCAGGTGGGCATGAGGGGTCCTCGGGCTGTCCCTGGTCTAGTATCTGGGGCCTGGTGGTGGCTGGAACTCCAGTTTCTGCTTCTAGGATGGGGAAGTGACCTGTGAGAAGGTGATGTGTGAAGCTGCTTGTTCCCACCCGATTCCCTCTGGAGATGGGGGCTGCTGCCCGTCATGTACAGGTGCGAGCTGGTCTGGGGAAGGCTGTGAGTGTCCCACGTGGTCCTGCCTCTCACCCTCCCCGGCCTTTCTGTAGCTGAAAGGCTGAAGCGGGTTCCCCGAACCTCGCCCCCTGGGGGCTTCTGATTTAGCAGGTGTAGGACCCAGGACTTTGCATTTCTCACAAATTCCCAGGCAATGCTGGTGTTGCTAAGTCAGAAGTCACTTTAAGAGCCACTGGTCTATGCTGAGGTACCCTTCAAGGGGGAACATTTCATCTCCTGAGGATCCTTTTCGAGCTTCATTCATTCATTTATTCATTCATTCAGCAAGTTCCTCCAGACCCACTCAGCAGTCGCCTCTTCTGTCCCTACCCCCTCCCACTGCAGGAATAATCATTTATGAATTCTCCCCCCTTTCTGATTCCCTCCAACAACCTGCTGACAGTTTTTCATTTGCCTCTCATTGCTGTTAGGATAAAGACGCCAAATTTTAACAAGTCCTTCAGCAGAGCTCCTCAAAACTTACTCTGCACGTGAATCTTGTTAAAATAGAGGTTCACATTCAGTGGATGTAGGGACGGGCCTGAGCTTCTGTGCTTCTGTGAACAACAGCCCCCCCGAACATGATCAGTTGCTTTTCCGCTGCACTTTGAGCAGCAGTGAAAAAGTTTTCCTAGGGGTTAGAACGAAGATGATAATTGTGATCTTTTACTGTGTCCCTCCCGCATACTAAGGCCTGAATGTAAAGTGCTGGGTGCATTACATCTGCGGGTGTGCGTCCTTTGAAGCCCCCTGCAGGGCGCGTGGTGGTTATTTCCATTTTGCGGTAGACATATGAGTCCTAGGCTAAGTGACATGTCCAAGGTCGCTCAGAGGGCTGAGCAGGCAGGCCAGGTTTTGAACCCAGAGCTGTCTGGCTGCCTTTCCTGCCTTATGGAAATAAAATGCCATGTTCTCAGAGGTTCTGGGTTTATCAGACATGAACGGAGTCCTCCCAGGGCATTCTATGCGAATGTCTCCTGTAGTTCCCCAGGGGTCCTAGGACCACACAGGTCTGAGTGTGTGGATCTGCCACTCCTGGGGCATCCAGGCTGGTAGGAGAAGCCTCCAGGTACCTTTTGCCTGGAAAAGTAATGAGCCCTCAAGCTTCCTCTACTTTGAAGAGGTCCAATGCCTCCATTCCTGTTTGTCTTTCAAAGGCTGTTTTCACAGCGGCGTCATCCGGGCCGAAGGGGACGTGTTTTCACCTCCCAACCAGAACTGCACCGTCTGTGTCTGTCTGGTGAGCATCACAAGATCCCAAAGCCTTGCAGGTGTTTTCTTAACCTTTGGGGGTTTTAGAGGAAGGGGGAAAGACTGGATGTTAAAGGTGAGCTTGACTGAATGGTGGGAGAGTTCTCGGGTTGTGGATTTTGGTCAGAACCTGTCGAATTTAAAAGTGTGGGGTCGGGTGGGGAGGGAAGCCTGTAGTCTGTGGAGTCAGGGAGGCTTCTGCTGAGCAGAAAAGAGCCAACAGGCACACAGGGTCCATCTGTCTAGGAAGGGGAGGGGATGAAACTCCCTCGGAAACTTCCCACCAGGGAGGCTGTTTTTCTCTCCAGGCAAAATATTTGCCAGCACCATAAAGGTGTCCACATCGGGAGGGAGAGGCTCATGACCAGATTTAGCTTGTTAAGAGTATTTTGCTTTAAGCAAATCCACTGCTTCAAGCACCTACTAAGTGCCAGATGCTGTCCCATGGATTGGATCATGAGCATACAGTGTGTGCCAGGCAGGGGGCTTGGTGCTTTCCATCTAGTTCCTCACTTGAGGCTGCTGGCAGCTCTTCTAGGTTGGCTTTACTGCCCCTATTCTACAGATGAAAAGACTGGGGCTGGGAGGTAGCTGAGCTGGGATTTGAGCGGAGATCTGTCTGCATCCAAAACCCAGGCTCTGTCCACCAACTCTCACTGCCTCTGATCATCTTTAAAAGTGGCCGCTGGTCAAGCAGGGATGGTGGAAGCTGCATTGTAGGGTTGAGGGGGGCAGGTGATAGCTACTACCCCCTTTTGTTGAGCCCTTCCTCTGTGCCACGCACACAGGTGTAGTGGCCAAACGCTGGTGTGCATGACGCAGTCCTCAGTGACCCCTGACTGAGGAGCCCTTCACAGCTCATCTCACATACAGGGAGACCGAGGCTCAGAGAGGGGATATACTTTGCCCAAAAAGTCACACGACTTGTAGGAGCAGACCATGGACCTCAGGTCTGGCTGTCTCCCAAGCCTGGGGCTTTTTTCGTAACTTCCAATTTTTAAAATTGAGTTTTAAATGTAATTTCTTGGCCAATATGGTCACTTGGTTCAAAATTCAGATGCACAGGAAGGTGCCTTTGGTGGAGTAACATCTGTTCTCAGCATCCTCAGCATCCTTCCGGAACTTCTGTATGCTGTGGGAGGGGTTCTATTGGATGGGTGCCATGGGGGGGATGCCATGGGGGGTGCCATGGGGGGAATGCTATGGGGGACTAGGCAGCTTGCTCTGCTCTCCGGTCTGCTCATCTTGGAAAGGGGGATATTCTAAACCACACCATAATAAGCCCTGGTACTGGGTCCCTGCACAGTATCCCTGTGAACCCATAGTGACATTTAAAGGTCTTGGACGGCTTCCTTTTGGAGGCTTTTGTGTGGGACAGGAGACCTGAGTGTGGTGGAAATAGGGAACAACAGTAGGGCCTGACAGAGAGCCTGGTGCTCCTCCTCCACCTGCTCCCCCCCAACCCCCCCTGGGCCCCCCACACCTCTCCCCTCCTCAGGCTGGAAATGTGTCCTGCATCTCCCCCGAGTGTCCTCCCGGCCCCTGTCAGACCTCCCCGAAGCCAGACTGCTGTACTTGCGTGCCAGGTAAGTGACTCTTTGGTTGGGGGAGGGCATTTAGCCTTTTAGTGCGTCGGGGAGGTGCTTTGGGGGAAGGATGAGTGGAGGACAGAAGGAGGAGATTGATTTCTGCTTTAGAAACCCAGATCAAGGGAAGCATTTCAAAGTGCCTGTTTTAACTGAGCACCTACCGTGTGCACAGTGGTTTGGATACGAGATTGGGCTCACAGCCCGGCCTGCCCCCGCCTGGGCTGGTGCCTTCGACACTGACAGGAAGGGGTTTGAATCCACCCTTGGCATGGCTCTGTCCCGAGACTGGGAGGGGTGTCCCCTTCCCCACTAATGAGTTGGTCCTTTGTTAAAATATGGTTCTCTTTCCTGAGATGACCTCATTGCTGTCACTGCCGGCTCTGGGCCACGGCTGTGTGGGGCGCTTGCCAGTCCTTGATCTCAGAGTCCATATGGAGCAGCCCTGAGGGGTACTATTAATAGCCCCATTTTATAGGTGAGGAAACTGAGTCTCAGAGAGGTCCTCACTGCCCAAAGACACACAGTCAGTTAGTAAAGGAGCAGAGCTTCAACTCAAGCTTATCTGATTCCAAAGCTAGTGTTCTTTTTATTTTACTTTTGAAATTTTTATTTATTTGTTTTTTTGACGGAGATACTGGGGATCGAACCCAGGACCTCGTGCACGCCAAGCACAAGCTCTACCGCTGAGCTATACCCTCCCTCACATAGTGTTCTTTTTAATACTATTTTTGTTATTGTTGTTTTTTTATTGAAGCATAGTCAGTTTACAATGTTGTGTCAATTTCTGGTGTATTTAATACTATTTTTTGAATATTATATTATTTTTAGTTAAAATAGTTTTTGAAGAGGCAGTACACTCCCTAGGAGGTAGGAACCGTTAACCCCATTTTACAGATGAGAAAACTGAGGCTTAGCAAGCCTTAAGTATCTTGCCCCAAGTGAGTTGTGTAGCTGGGATTTGAACCCAGAGCAGTGTGACAGAAGTCAGGTGGGCCTGCGCAGGTTTTTTAGGCTGTTTTTACCAGTGTGGGAGTGGGGATCTTCAGATGAGAGGCTCCCACTGAATCCTCCCAGCCTCTAGGGAACAGCAGCGTTCCCAGACTTTGCTTTAGGTGTCTAGGGCTGTCTTTTTTTTTTTCTTAATTGGCATATAGTTGATTTACAATGTTTTGTTAGTTCTGATGTACAGCATAGTGGTATATACATATGTGTATATATTATATATATGTATATACACACACATATACACACATACACACATACACAATGGAATACTACTCAGCCATAAAAATGAAATAGTGCCATTTGCAGCAACATGGATGGACCTAGAGATGATCATACTAAGTGAAGTAAGTCAGACAGAGAAAGACAAATATCATAAAAAACAGGGCCGTCTTTTTCATTTCTTCTTTTCTTTTACTCTAATTATTCAGGGCCTTCTTTCCTTCTCAGTTAGGACCTAATTTTGATGTAGCTCATTCTCTGTCAATTTTTAGGTACCAGTGTACCTTTAGCTGAGAGTTTGAAGGGGGGCTACGGTTGGGGTCCTGGGTGTAGGAGTGCTGTGGGGTATCATGGAGGTGCGTTTTCTTCCCCAATCCCCCCACCCATTTGCTCCCCCTTTTCTTTAGCTGCGCAAAGACCTTGAACTGCTTCTTCCTTTCTCCTCCGCAGTGAGATGCTATTTCCACGGTCGGTGGTATGCAGATGGGGCTGTGTTCAGCGGGGTTGGTGACGAATGTACCACCTGTGTCTGCCAGGTAGGGGCTTCCAGGATGGGTGACGGGGAGGGGGTAGGGCACCAGACTTCCCCAGGATGCCTTGTCCAGGAGGAGAGGAGCAGCCGTGCAGCAAAAGGGATACTGACGAAGCAAAGAGATCAAAGGGATCTTAGCATTCACCAAGGCCTCCCCTCCATCTCCCTGAAGTTTGTCGTTGAGCAGTGCTATTTACTGAGCACCTACTGGGTCAATGCTGAGTGCTGGAGATGCAGCTGAGCACAAGACAGCCCCCTTCCCCTCTGTCAGGGGGCACGCAGCTAGGTGGGCAATGAACAGGTGATGGGGGGGGAGCTCTTTAGTTCTAGGAGGGAGGGATGCTAAGCAGAGATGGGAAGGATATCGAGGACTAGTCAGGTGGGAGCTGAGACAGGTGTGCCTGACAGAGGGCACTGCATGAGCAGAAGGCAGGAGGCGGGAGAGAGCACGGCGTGTTGTAAGGTCTGAAGATGTCCATTCTGGCCGGAGCCCAGGATGCCAGAGAGGCTGGAGACCAGGCTGAGGCGGGCATCCAGTTTGGGCTGGGTTCTGAGAGGCAGGGCGTGGGGTGGGCTTCTCATGTGATTTTCGGAGGGTGCACTCTCAGGAGACACTGGTGGGGGGAGCAGGACAGGCAAGGGAAGAGGCCCAGTGAGGACGGGGTCTCAGGCTGATGTCAGGGGAGCTCTGGAGTGTAAGCTGCTCTGCAGAGGTGAGTGTGTCTAGAGGCGAGGGAGTGGGGCTGAAGGAACCATCCAGGCACCTGGAGGACGCAGCCCCATCAGCTAAGGTGGTACTTTGGGGCAACAGCCTCTGCCTCGGACTCAGTCATGAAGGGCTTGCCAGCCAGGCAGAGGGGTTGGACTTGGCAGAGGTGCCAGAGAGTTTTAAGTGGCAGAGTGATGTGATCAGGTTGACCCACAAGAGAGTTCTTTGGCTGCAGGGTGAGAGTGGATTGGAGTGAGAGCAGGAAGCTGTTGCAGAAGTGAGGCGGAGAGATGCTGGAGGCAGCAGCTAGGGCAGGCCAGGGACCCTCTGGCCAGACAGCGGCACCTTCCCTGTACCCTCTTCCAGCCTCACCCCCAACCCCCAGTGGAGGACTCGCCCTTCCTTCCACTCTGGCTTGCTGGAGATTCGTCACATTTAGGAGGATGATGGCAGCCTGCCGGCCTCCTCTTTTGCTCTTTCTGGTCCGTGCCCCTGGGCTCTCTTCCAGAATGGGGAGGTGGAATGTTCCTTCACGCCATGTCCAGAACTGGATTGTCCCCGCGAGGAGTGGTGGCTTGGCCCTGGGCAGTGCTGCTTCACCTGCAGGAAGCCCACACCCATGACAGGTGAGGACCACGCAGCCCTGCATCCCAGGCTGCACCCACCACCGGGTCTGGAGGCTGGAGAGGAGGGAGGCTGAGCGTCACCCCTGAGACTGTTAGTGTGTGTGTGTTCTCCGTGTGTGTTGCATTAAGTGTGTCTGGAAGAATGTGTGTGTGTCTGTGAGTGTATTTATTTGTCTGTTTTAAGTTTGTGTATGAGTGGCATCTGTGTGTGAGTTTGTGTACGTGTGTCCATGTGTTTGTGTGTGAGTTGTATCTGTGTGTGTTTTTGAGTGTGTGTGTTTTTGTTGTGTGTCTGCTGTATCTGTGTGAGTGTGTGTGTGTGCATATGGGAGTGGGTTCTGTGGGTGTGAATGGCTGTGTTTGTGGGTGTGCACGGAAGCTCACATTTGTGAGTGTGTCCCTGTATACTGGGTGCTGTTGGGCAGGGAAAAAATTCACCATCTGAGCGAGCGGGTGGCAGCTGCGGGAAGGTGGCTGCGTGGACACCGTGTGAGTGAGCCAAGGCATCTGTCTGTCCTTGGCGGGGCAGTGCCGTCGGTCCCATGGGCCTTCAGGACCCTCCTTGGCACTTCTGCCCATGCGCCCTTTCTCCCCTGCTGTCCCCTGGCCAGGCTGCTCTCTCGACGACAACGGGGTTGAGTTTCCGATTGGACAGATCTGGTCTCCCGGTGATCCCTGTGAGTTATGCATCTGCCAGGTGAATGACAACCTGCGCGCCTTCAGCTGCTTTCCCGGCCCTCCCCCCTCCAGAAGCGGGGCCACCCCCAGGCTGGCGGCCCCAGTCTCGCCTCCATGCTGTCAAATCCCATTTTTACAGAAGGGGCTGGGATCCAGTTTATTCTGTCTTTGTTAGACTTTCAGGAGGACAGAGCTTGGCGGTCTGTCTTCAGAGTGGTGTGTGACACACTGCTTGTGTGGGGGACCTGCTGGCATAAAGAGATAAAAGTAGGAATCCTGGTAGCGGGTTTTCCCCGGGCACAGATGACCAAGGGAGCTGGGGCAGCCCGAGGCCCTCTAGTTCAGCTGCGAAATTGCAGGGCTTCCTTCCCTAACACGAATCACGCAACCTCATCTCATCAGAAGTGAGGGTGCGTGAGTTTTAGAGTCAGATCGACAGAAATGCCAACACAGCATCATTTTAGCTCATGTTTAAGTACAGGTTGGCTTTCTTTTCAACTTTAAAGGAGTTTTGAGTCCCTTAGAGGTTAGAGCTTTATTTCTCAAAATGAGGTCCCTGCACCCGCAGTGCCATCAGCATCACCAGGGAGCTGCGTAGACCCTCAGGCTGCTCAGGCTGCCCAGGCCTCCGGACTCAGCAATCTGCCTTTTAATCCCCGGGTGACTCATGTGCACATGAGCATATGAGAGGAATGGCCTTCGAGTCCCTTTGATGCACCATTTGTTAAAAAGTCCTAGACCCTTGCAAAACTTGGACACATTTCACTGGAATTAGAGTCGGGAGGAAAGTATATCCGCTGCCTTTTTCTCCTTTAGGACTGATCTCAGGCATTTGTATGACAAGAAAGTAATGTAAAAGTTTCATAAACATTCAGATTCTTATAGAAAAAAAGAAATGTATATGGTGCTTTCATCTCTGAAAGACATTTCTGGTGGAATACCTTTCTATAAAAGTAGGATTTTATTGTACTCCATAGATCTGGGGTGAGCCAGGATTTCAGGGAAACTCTGAGAGGAGAATTTGGATGGGGTCACAGCGCAGTCTTGGCCTCTGTGGGAGAGGAACAGGAAGCCGAGGAGACCAAAACCCGAGCTCTGACCTTCCCCCTCCTGGGATGCGGGACGCCTTTCTGGAAGGCTCACACCTCCTTTCCCAAGAGGCTGGATCTCTTTGGGGATCCCTGCCAGCTCCTAGCTGCCTCGTGGTGCTCTTTAGGGCAAATCTTGGCCAGTTTGCAGCACTAACCTTTCTTTTGGGGGGGCCGGCAGGGTGGAGCGGGGTGGGGAGGGAGGTGGGGACTGGTGTTGCAGGTGGGTTCTTGGTGAAGTTCCTCCTTCCTTCAGGCAGACGGCTCAGTGAGCTGCAAGAGGACAGACTGTGTGGACTCCTGCCCTCACCCGATTCGGATCCCTGGACAGTGCTGCCCGGACTGTTCTGCAGGTAATTCCCCTCCCGGGGATGTGGGGGAGAAGCATAGCACCCTCCCTGGCCATCCCTACCCAACCCCCGGCCCCCGGGCTCACCCTGTGTCAGGCTTCTCCATAAAACACACCATAAAATACATGCTTTATCTCTGGTCATCCTCGCAGTGACCCTGGGGACCCAGCCCATTTTACAGATAAGGAAACTGAGGCTTAGAGCCAGAAAGCAGTTTGCCCAAGGGAGGCCCTGTCTGGGTGCTGGAAGCAGATGTGAAGATATGCAGAGCTTGCAGCCTACGTGGGGTGATCAAGCAACTGTATCTGGAAATGATTAGAGAACAGGGAGAGGAAACGAAGAGCACCCCTTATGTTTTAATAGTCATTTTTCTTACCTTTTCTGTTATTTCAGAAGTAACATTTTATTATAGAATATTTAGAAAATACAGAAAGCAAACAAAAAATTAAAAGTGTCCATTATCACTTTTTTTTAATTGAAATACAGTTGGTTTACAATGTTGTGTTAATTTCTGGTACACAGCATAGTGATTCAATTATGTATATATTCTTTTTCATATTCTTTGTCATTATAGGCTATTACAGGGTACTGAATATAGTTCCTTTTGCTATACAGTAGGACCTTGTCTTCAAAATCTTGAAGTTAAAAGGGTTCTGTCCCTTCCCCAACTCCCGGGGCAAGTGCCTGGGGAGGCAGCTGGCCTGACCTTTGCTACCCAGATCGGCCTTGGACCCCCGCCCTGGGGAAGGCCGGCCATGCCCTGGCTGGTGCTTACCGCGTGCTCTCTCTGGCAGGCTGTACCTACACAGGCAGAATCTTCTACAACAACCAGACCTTCCCATCCATGCTGGACCCGTGTCTGAGTTGCATCTGCCTGGTACGACCACCCAGACCTGACCCCTGTCTGCAGAAACTCCCCAGGAACTTCCCACCAGCTCCTGAACCCTGGAGGCAAAATCTAGAGACCTCCAAGAGAAAGGTCACTCTGGGTCGTGGTGAAAGCCAGCTCCCTCCAGCCCTGCCCAGGGTGAATCTTTGTTCAGGGTCAGAGAAATATTTTTAACCCTACCTAGCAAAAGTCCTCCCCTTCTGGTGACCAGGAAGGGTCTTGGGGGCCAGCTCCTTATGGTATAAAATGTGGCCCAGGGATTCTTGCTGAGAGTGGGGGTGATGCACTCAAACCCAGGACTCTGTAGAGAATCTTTGACATACTCACATTCTTAGCCTCTGCTAGTGCCAGTCCCTGCTCTCAGCGCAACCTCAGTTAATCCACGGGGGGTCCTATGACTTGGGTACCACCTCCATCCCCATCTGCTAGGTGAGAACATGTGGCAGAGAGAGACAAGTCATTTGCTCAAGACCCCACAACTAGTCAGTCACAGTGCCAAGAATCAAATCCTCGTATTCTAAATCTGCTTCAGAAAGCACACTTTTACCCCTAAATGATAGGGATATCATTTAGTATTTGGAAAATGGAAAAAAAAAGAAAGTCCTTATCGCTTGCCATGCCAAAATTGTTTCGTGCCAATGGAGTTTCTTTGCTGGTGGTGGGTGCAGACGCTGTGTGAAAACGGACAAGTCTACAGAAAGATTGAGAAATTCGGGGTGAGCATTTCTGGCCTCTGAGTGGCCCTATTCATTCATAGCCATGTGCTCTGGGGAGCTTCGGCTTCTGGGTCCTTTCCCCTACGTTTTTAGTGCTCAGCGTCCCTGGGTGGTTCATGGATTTGTTTGACAGGTACCTGTTGACAGATAAGCTCCGTAGACAAGGCCAGGCTCTTGGTCCCGTGGGGCTTGCGTTCTAGTGGGAGGACAGACTCTGTCAGTGAACAGTTCCTCTCCCACCCCTAACAAGGACCTCTTCCCTGACCTTGGTGGCTCTGATGGGCACTCAGTGGCTGTGTGATCTGTCCTTCCTGACTGTCCTTCCAGCCTCCCTGAATGAAGGGCCTTATGTGTTTTCTGTGTCCTGCAGCTGGGATCGGTGGCCTGCTCGCCGGTGGACTGCCCCATCACCTGCACCTACCCATTCCACCCCGACGGGGAGTGCTGCCCGGTGTGCCTAGGTTAGTGGGACCAGCCACACCATGTCTGGGGCTCCCAGGTGGGCTTTGGCTCTCACAGCGCCTGTCTCCTCTGCCCCTGCAGACTGCAACTACGAGGGCAGGAAGGTGGGAAATGGCCAGGTGTTCACCTTGGACGATGAGCCCTGTACGCAGTGCATATGCCAGGTGAGCTGGGCCTGGGGACCCTGGAGCCTCCTGGCCAGGGCTTCTAGCCTTTCATCCCTTGGCCAAACTTGGAACCCCTTAGCCAGTATCCCCACATCTTCCTCCTGCCATTCTTCAACTTTAATTACCTGCCAGAATGCCTTCAGATTTGATGGTATCCTCTCCCTTTGTAAGTTTCCTTAAGGTGGCCCTGCTCCATTTGGCTCACCTGTTCAGGCGAGGGCTGGGCACTGCAGCATCTGCCCCGGATCTTTCCGTAGGTCCAGCTGCTGGTGCCAGAAATCCCCGAGGACGCTGCTCTGGGCAGGGAGTTGCTCTGGGCTTTCTCATGTGTGTCCTTCTGCTTCCCCAGCTGGGAGAGGTGAGCTGTGAGGAGGTGCCCTGCCAGAGGGCCTGCTCAGACCCCTCCACACCCGCTGGGGACTGCTGCTCCTCCTGCCCAGGTAAGTGGGCCTCTGCAGCGTGGAGTTTCACCATCGTCTCGTTCCACTTTGCTCTTCTTCCCAGAGACACAGAACTTGTACTGGATGTGAGAAACCCAGGCTCGGAGAGGGAACATGGCCTGCTCAAGGTCACGCGGCAAGCACGAGGTGTGCCCTGGCCTTGCTGACCCTCATCTGTGCTGTTTATGCTGCCTATGACGTGCCATCTGACAAGTCTGTCTATCATTCCTTTTTCTTCTTCATTTCTTCCTTCCTTAATCTCCTCCTCTGCTCTCTTCCCTTCTTAAAAATTAGAATTTAGGAATTGAATCCACTTTGCAGGGGAATAATTGCTAATATGTACTGAGCACCCGTTACCAGTCAAGGAACATCATATATTATTTCTTTTCTTTTTTTTAAAAATTGAGGTATATATGATCCAGCAATTTCACTCCTGGGCATATATCCAGAGAAAACTCTAATTCGAAAAGGTACATAGACCCCGATGTTCATAGCAGCACTATTTACAATAGCCAAGACATGGAAGAAACCTAAAGGTCCATCAGCAGATGACTGGATAAAGAAGATGTGATATATATACAATGGAATACTACTCAGCCATGAAAGAGAATGAAATAATGCCATTTGCAGCATTATGGATGGACCTAGAGAGATTATCATACTAAATGAAATAAGTCAGACAGAGAAAGACCAATATCATATCGCTCATTTGTGGAATCTGAAAAATGATACAAATGAAGTTATTTACAAAACAGAAACTGACTCACAGATACAGAAAATAAACTGATGGTTACCAAAGGGAAAAGAGGGGAAAGGATAAATTAGGAGTTTGGGATTAGCACATGCAAACTACTATATATTAAAATAGATAAACGACAAGATCCTACTGTATAGCACAGGGAACTATAGTCAATATCTTGTAATAACCAATAATGAAAAAGAATATATATGTATATATACATATAACTGTATCAGTGCTATACATCAGAAACTAACACAACATATAGTATACTTCAATTTAAAAAACAGAAAAGGTAAAAGAAAATTGAGGTATAATTGACATATAACATTACATTAGTTGCAGGGGTAACAACGTAATGATTTGATATTTGTATATATTATGAAATGATCACCACAGTAAGTCCAGTTAACATCAGTCACCACACAAAGTTACCAAACATTTTTTTCTTGTTATGAGAACTGCTAAGATTTAATCTCTTAGCAACTTTTAAATATAGTATTTCAATACAATATTATTAACTATAGTCATGTGTACATTACATCCCCATGATTTATTTATTTTATAATGGGAAATTTGTGCCTTTTGACCCCCTTCACCCATTTTGCCCACCCCTCACATCCCACCTCTGGCAACCACCAATCTGTTCTCTGTATCTTTGAGCTCTTCTTTTTTTTTTTTAATGGTTCTACATATAAGTGAGATCATATGGTATTTATCTTTCTCTGTCTGATTTATTCATTTAGCATAATACCCTGTGGATCCATCCACGTTGTCACAAATGGTAAGATTTCACTTTTTTGTGGATGAGTAATATTCCATTGTATATATATATATATATATACCACATCTTCATCCATTCATCTATCAATGGAAACCTAGGTTGTTCCCATGTTTTGGCTATTGTAGATGATGCTGCAATGAACACTGGGGTGCAGGTATCTTTTTGAATTAATATTTTCATTTTCTTTGGATATGGACCTAGGAGTGGAATTGCTGGATCATACGATAGTTCTTTTTTAATTTTTTGAGAAACCTCCTTACTGTTTTACACAGTGGCTGCACCAATTTGCATTCCCAACAGCAATGGAAGGGTTTCCTTTTCCCCACATCCTGACCAACACTTGTTACTTCTTGTCTTTGTGATGACAGCCATTCCAACAGGTATAAGGTGGTATCTTATTGTGGTTTTTTGATGTGCATTTCCCTGGTGATGTGTGATGTCGAGCATCTTTTCATGTACTTGTTGGCCATCTGTCTGTCTTCATATATCTTGTTTCATTCCCTTTTCACAGCAACTCTTTGTGATAGGTCCTATTAGCATTTTCCAGGTGAGGAAACTGAGGCACAGAGAGGTGACGTGAGATACTAAAGGTCACGCAGCTGATTGATAGAGCCAGGATTTGAGCCCCGAGTTGATGCTTTCAGCTACTATGCTGCATTGACTCCAGAAAATTATTCTCATCTCTTTGTCTGTCTCCATCATTAGTGGCTCTTTTTGCAGAAATATAAACAGGACGTGGGCAACCTACTGTAACACACAGTTTCAAAGTGTCGATAGAGCCCTCAGCTGGCCTTTTGAAACAAGCTCCCATATTCTGGTTTAATTACGCCTTGCCTTTTTAGTTGATAGTTAGGTGGTTTCTTTCTTTTTCCTCTTCTTTTTTTTTGGACCTACTGTGAAAAACCTTTGGTCAGACAACTTTTGTTTTTTTTCTTCAAATTTTGTGAGTTGTGTTCGGACCCTGCAGTCAAATGGAGTAACTAGATCACAGGGCTTCAGGAGTGGTTTGGTAACTCCTCCGGCATGACAGCACATGACCAGACAGGGGTCCTAGGCAGAGAGGAGACCTAATGTGTTGTAGCTGGTTCCCCACATACCTACCAGCTCTACACTGTGTGTTTTGAGTTTAATTTTTTCTAATTTAATATGTCCATCAAGAACCTTGAATGTGGCTTTTTTACGTTTTTTAAACTTCCAGGAAGACAGTGAATTTTTCCATGGATTTGTGGCCTGGATTTCCATTTGCATAAAATATCTCTTTAACTCCTTTGATCTTTTGAAGAGGATGTTCTCTATTTAGAGCAGCTGTTCAGATCTGTGGATGAAGAGCTGCTGTCGAGACTGGTGGGGCTGGAGGCACCCTGATCCCATACAGTCATTCTGTTGGGAACTGTTGAGTGATTACAGAGTCGATCTCACCTTAAGCACCCCAAACCCTTCTGCAAGCTGATAGGTATTATTCCCTCTGCTTTCTAGAGGCTAAGTGCCAGGCAGCGTACGGAGCATTTGACCTGCATGATCTCATTTAAATGCCCTGGGAACGTTCCAGCCTGCACGCTCTCATTAGCTCCATTTTGCAGATGGGGAAATGGAGGCTCCAAGAAGTTTCTGTCTTGAGGCCACACTGTGTGGTGGTGTTGGACTCAAGCCAGGTCCCTCTGATTCCTTACACTATGCTCCTTCCCATTCTGCTCTCCTGCCTCCAGATGGGGAAACTGAAGCCCAAAGAGGTGAGATGCAGAGCCTGGTTCCTTCTCCTGGAGCATCAGCCTCACGTCTGTTTGCCACGTGCCTCTTCCTAATGAGAGCCCTTTCTTTTCTTTCTTTCTTTCTTCCTTTTTTTTTTTTGCATTCTTTTTTTATTGAAGTACAGCCAGTTTACAAGGTTGTGTCAATTTCTGGTGTACAGCATAATGTTTCAGTCATATGCACAGAGAACTCTTTTTTTTTAAACAATTTTTTATTGAGTTATAGTCATTTTACAGTGTTGTGTCAAATTCCAGTGCAGAGCACAATTTTTCATTTATACGTGAACATACATATATTCATTGTCACATTGTTTTTCGCTGTGAGCTACCACAAGATCTTGTATATATTTCCCTGTGCTATACAGTATAATCTTGTTTATCTATCCTACATATGCCTGTCAGTACAGAGAACTCTTTTTAAGGAGAAACAACTTTTTATTGAAATACAGTATGAATTGTTTCCTTTTAGATCATGAATATTTCTTGAGATATAATTTATATACCATACAAGTCACACACTCAAAGTACACAATTCAGTAGTTTTCAGTATATTCACAGAGTAGTGTGACTGTCCTTTTGATGATTTATATATCTATATATTTTAAATTGATGTATAGTTGATGTACAATATTATATAAATTTCAGGTGCATGACCTGGTGATTCACAATTTTTAAAGGTTATAGGTTACCTTTTGATCATTTTAATAATGTAATAGTTCCAATTTTTAACATGTTAGCTGGCCTCTGTCTCCCCCTGATCATACCTTCCTCCAATATTTTCTCTAATATTCTCTCTTCCTTCCAAGTTCTCTCACCATGGATTAAGCCCTTATGATGTGCCAGGTTCCAGGCTGAGACTTAAAAACAAATTTTTTCAATAGATTTTTTTTTAGAGTGATTGTAGGTTCACAGCAAAACTGCGCAGAAGGTACAGAGAGCTCCCACATACCCCCTGCCCTCCATTTATGCACAGCCTCCCCTGCCATCAACATCCCCCACCAGATGGTACATTTGCTAGTTGGTGAACCTGCACTGACATAAATGTCCCCCAAAGTCCATAGTTTATGTTTGGCTTTAGGCTGAGATCTGTCAAGCACCGTTTCATTCCATCTTCACTGAATAGCCCTGTGCAGTCATTGTTACCATGAAGCCCATTTTACAGATGGGGAAATGGAGGCCCAGGGGAGTGATGTGCCTTACACAAGGCCGCACAGCCAATGCCTTTGGTGGACTGCCTCTGTCTGCTCATGGTTCCTTTTCCGTCTACTTCCCTGGAGGCAGGAGCTTCCCCACCCCCACCCCAGATGTGCAAGGACCCTTGGAGGACAGAGCTTGGGCATCTGTCTCTGGTGCAGCTACTCCCAGAACTGCCTCAGCCGCAGGGAGAGCCATTGTGCATCTTGTTGCCTCACCTCTCTCTCTAGATTCCCTGGAGGAAAGCCGGGGGCTCTCTCCTCGCGGGGACGTGGAGCTCAGCAAGGCGGTTCGGAGCCCCCGGGGAGACACTGAGGCCCCCGTCAACTGCAGCTCCTGCCCGGGGCCCCCAGCGGTGTCACCTCAGAGGCCAGCGCTCCAACTGCTCCAGCTCCTCTTAAGAACCAACCTGCCTAACATGCAGACTTTGCCTGTGAGCCCCTCAGGAGCCCAGGCCTTACCTTCGTTCCCTTTGGGGCCAGGGGGCAAGTTGCCAGGGGAGCCTAGGGCCTCCCAGCCCCCTCGGCCCTCACCAGGGCCTTCAATTCCTCCCGGAGCCTCCTCTCTACCTCCAGCCTCTCCTGGGGCTCCTGGGCCACCTCCTGTTACTCCAGACCCCTCATCCTCAACCACTGGGGCCCACACGGCGTCCAGACGACCTTCTCTGCCTGCCACCATCCTGACTGAAGCTTCAGCCCTTTCCACGAAGCGCCCCAGCCCCTCAGAGACCCCCATTACCTTTCTCAGGCCTCGCAGACTCTCCGCAGCCTTTGCAGCCACGGCCAGCTCGGACCCCCCGCAGCCTGCCATGGGGACCTCACGGGAGGAGGAGGCCGCTGGGTAAGCAGGCCTCCGTTTCAGGGCCATGCCCAGGAGACACCGGACAGAGAAGACTGCCAATGGCCCTGGGAGCTTGCAGGGCGGCTCTGGGGGCCGACAAGGCTGCTGAAGCCGGAGGCTCACTCCTGCAGTACTCCTGGTGGGGATGGAAAGCCCCAGGACCCGACGTAGCCTTGTCCCCAGGAAGCATTTGGGATGTGCTGTGAGAATCCAGCAGTGTGTCCTCCACAGTCAGCATCCTCCCTGGATGGCACGGCTGGCCTGTCTTGAGAAATGTCGGGGCGGTCGAGTCCTTCCGCTGGAGGAGGAGGGTCAGAGGGGGATGGGATTCCATGGGGATTGTGTCACCAGCCGTCCCACGTCCTTACCTGAGGTTCCCTGATTAAAGGCTATCTCGGTGTCCCCCAGGCTGCCCTGTTCATTCACTTTCTTGCCTTTGGAAAGCTGGGAAAACTCTAAGCCCACAGGTGGTGAACTAGCACCCACTTCAACCCCCAGCCTGGAGGAAAAGCCTGCACCGGTGTGTGGCTAGATTCGGAGGGGTCTATGTGAGCACCCAGTGGCCTCTGCTGCTAGGAGCCTTCTCAAGTGAGGCGAGAAAAGACGGCTGGAGACAGTTTTGCAGGTTAGGTTCCCTGGGAGGGAACGTCTGAGATGAACTAGGAGGGAAGTGGTTTCTTAGGGCCTGTGTTCAGCCTTCACATCTGTGAGCAGGAGGGAAGGGGGGGAGGGAGTAGGAGGGAGCAGTGGGGCCGGGCAGCCCCAAGGTCTCAGCCACCCGCTGTGAGGCTCAGAGTCTGGGATGGCCCTTCAGAGTGTCTGAGTTGGGGCAAGGGGCCAGGGACTTGTGCCCCCATGTTGACCAATATTTCTACCTGGGTCCCCCCAGGCAAGGGGCATCAATTCGGACAGTTCCCTATGAGGCTTGACAGCTGAGAGCTGTCAGCCAACCACCTTCTCTGCAGCTGAGGGAGAAAACATGTCAGTCCTGAAGGGGGGCATCTGGTCGCTGCGGCCCAGTTTCCATGACAGGTGGAAAGAGGACAGTGCTAACACTGATGGGGGACATGAGATGGGGATGGAAGACAGAGAACTGTGCTGTCACCAAGTCACCAACTTGCTACTACTGAAATCCAAGGGGGCTGCAGGATGAGCTGCACCCACACCTTCCTACGCTGGCCCTTCTCTGCCCTGCTGCTCACTGTGTCTCCCCGGGTGGTGTCTGTGGTGGCTACTGGCGGCGAAGGCCATCCAGGGTATCCAGCCCGGATGCTAGTGCAGTGAGGGCTCCTAATCTGAGCATGATGGTGAGAACAATGAATCTGGAATTAGGAGCATGGAAACGAAAGGCTTCAGAGCTGCAAAGGACTTAGAGACCATCTTGTCTGGTAAGATACCAAGGGTGTGGTTGAGTGAGGTCTGGGGTCCTGTGGGCCCTTAGGTCTCAGCTCCCTCATCTGTATTATCAGCAGTCCTACCTCGTGGAGATGGGACGGTGGCGTGCGATACAGACTGCGTACGTCTTGTTGGCTTGTGCTTGGGACCCTGTACAGCCTGCCTGGCTACACGATGCCGTCTGGGGTCTGATTTCAGGATGAAAGTGTAGCACGCTGGCTGCCTCCATGCTGCAGCTTCTCAAACAAGCCAGCTGTCACCCTGGTAGTGGCTGAAAGCCAGTGCCAATTTTCATCGTTATCCCTCAATTCCATAAAGTGTGCAATTCAAGTTGTATATACTAGTCTAGTCTCCCCTCTCCATAGAACTCAAGTAAACGGCATTCATTCTGAACATTAAAAAAGGGCTGGGGTGTGGGGGGGCTAGAGGACAGCTGTAAACACTTCCCCAGGTTAGACCAAGTATAAGGACATGCTTATCTGGGACCACCCAGCTCCCGCCCCCAACCCCGCATGCTTATGGCTGAGACCACAGAAGCCTAGGGAGGTTAGGAGAGTGTCCTAAGTTTGCACAGCTTAGTCTGACTCCTAGTCTGGGTTTTTCCCCTTCACGTTGCATTTGGTTGGGTTGTTCTGTTGGAGTTTCAGAGAGACAGTTGATGGCTGCAGTTTAGGTGAAGGTGCTGTGACCACCTTATCTTAGTTTGAGCACCCCAGGAGCAGATCTGGAGAGAGGGATTTGGATGAGAGCCGCTGCCCCGGGAGGTGATCCCAGGGAGCAGGGTGAGGGAAGGGGAAGGGAGATGGAGAAGGGAAGGGAGACGGAGAAGGGAAGAAGGCTCATCAGGTTTTGTTAAAGGGCACTGCTGTGGGCAATTGGCATCTGGTCCTTCTGTGGACATCCTGGGAGATCATGTAGCACACACTTCAGAATTGTCTGCCGAAGGCCTGAGAAAGCTGCTCTGGTCCCTCTCTTGCTCCTGGGCAGTGGGCTCTCCAGCACATCCAGCTGGCCCCACCCAAGGGCATAAGAAGGCCCCAGGGCAGGAGGTGCAGGAGCTGTCTACAGAGCACCCCAAGCTGGGCCAGGGCTCTCACCACCTCACACTGTGGTCAGCACAGTCCCTTCTCAGGACCCCTGGGGGGCTCTGAGCTGTCTCCCCCCAACCATGGGCAGGCAGGGTCATTGTGACATGTTGGGAGGCCCCTGTGGGACCTGACTTGGAGCATATTCTGCCCACAGTGAGCCCCAGTATGACTCCCCCTGCCCAGGGCTGGCTGGCACCAGGAGGTCAGTACCTTCGAGGCCCGAGGTGGGTACATAGTACTTTTAACGAGTGGATGAGCTGGTCTGAATTCTCAGCAGCCTGGGCTCCAATAAGCCAGTGGAGGGGGGGGGTGTTCTTGGGTGAGCACACCCTGCATTTTTCCCTACCTAGGAGCCCCCATTTAGGGTTCTGAGAAGTGCGGGGGGATGGGGAGGGTGGGCCAGAAGCCCATTCCACAGTGTCTGTTTCACTGGAGCCAGGGAGTTCCTGAAGGCCAGATGCTCACACCTGGTTCTAGAGACCTGCTTTTGGAGTTTATTAGACAAACCAGCTTGAGGATAAACCACAGTATATTTGGAATGAGGAAACACTTTCAGAGGTTTAAAAATACCTTTCATTGGGGAGAGCATAGCCCAGAGGGAGAGTGTGTGCTTAGCATGCACAAGGTCCTGGGTTCGATCCCCAGTACTGTTAGAAAAAAAAAACCTACTTGCCTCCTCTCCCCCAAAAATTAAAATAAAAAGTTTTAAATATATAAATTAAAAATAAAAATAATATATATAAAAATGCCTTTCATTAACTTATTTTGACTGTGTAGTACATCTACATCATTAGAAATAAAAATATATTAAGTTGTATTCGGTGAAGAGTGTCCCCATTCCCACGCCTACCCCGTATCCTCTCCCACAACCCACTTCTACGGTGCCTGGTTCTCGGGTGTCTTTTCTTCGTTCCTTTATGTATGTGCACGTGAATCTTATTTTCTTTATAATCTAAAGATAGGCTGGTGTAGGCCCTGTTGTCACCTGCTTTTGTTTGTCTGTGCTTTTTTCACCTGACAGTCTCTTCTCAAGATCTTTGCTCCCCAGTCCCTAGCGAATGTACTCCTTTCTTTGCTTTGTACAGCTGCGGAGTGGCTCCTGTGTGCACACAGCCGAAGTCATACAACCATCCCTGGGGGGAGGTGGGGGGAACATTTGGGTCGTCTCAAATCTTGCTCTTACGAAAGATGCTACAAAGAATAACCTCAGACTTAAATCATTTTGCACGTGTGCAAGTCTGTCTTTAAGATAAATTCCCAGAAGTGAAGTTAGTGGGCCAAAAGGTATACGCATTTCTAATTTTGATGGATAGTGCCAAACGGCACTCCTTAGGGACTATACGAACGGATGCTCCTACCAGTGGTGTGCAGGAATCCGCTCTCGGGAGGGCCAGGGTTCCCCTGATGAGTGGGGCAGAGACCTGTGAAATGAAAATAACATGTCCGGACAAGTGTGAGTGGAAAGGATGGATTGAGCTGAGTTTAGAGCCCTGAGGCCCTGAGGAAATGGGGAAAGACGAATGGGGAAAAGGAATGTGAATCCATCTTATCTTGCAGAGCAAAGTGTCAGATCAGACATGTTAGCAGGGAGTTTTCTAGTACAAATGATCTGTCTAATGGGAAGACTTTTTAGATTCTGTCTGGATTCAGGAATCCCAGGGTGAGGGAGCGGAAGCAGGGCTGGGAGGGAGAGGCTGAGCTGCAGCTGCCGGCACTGAGAGGCGGGAAGTTTCGGGCCAGGGGCAGGAGAAAAGGTGGGTCCAGGGAGAACCGGCTGCATCCCTGGAGCTTAGCATACTGCCTGGGGCATGGGAGGTGCTTGCTGGGGCATGGAAACAGCAGAAACACAAACACAGCAGAGGAGCCATGACACGGTGAAACTCATCCCCAGGCACCTGAGAAGCCACCTGTTTGTCTCATGACCAAACATGACTAGGACAGAATACTGGTTAGGGGTGAGAGTGGAGCCCTCTCTGGTCTCATGCATGGCCTCTATCAAATCAGATCCACGCTCTCATCTTATCCTATTTGTTTCCTTTTAAAAAGTCATCCCGAATTCATCACTCAGTCATCAAGCACCTACAATGTGCCAGGCCCAGCTCTTGCTGCTGGGACTTCAACAGTTAAATGATTCCAGTCTCTGTCCTGGTCGATCTGACACAAACCCTCCCATAAATGCCAGATCACCAGCTGTGTCCAGTGCCATAAATGGAAGGAGGGCCGGGCTTGGTGAGAGGGTGGTCCGGGAGGGCTTTGCAGGGAAGGATGCGTAAGCTGAGATCTGCAGGATGCTAGGGGTTAGCGGGTCAAGAAAAAGGAAACAGCAGCCCAGGCCAAGGGAACAGTGTGTGCAAAGTTCTGGAGGTGGGGAGGAGCTTGGGTATTTGTGGAGGTGGACAAAGGCCAGGGTTGCAGGAGCTCAGGGTGAGTGGGATCAAGGTGAGGCAGGAAAGGTATGTGGTGACCAGAGTGTACAGGGCCTGGAAGACACGCCAAAGATTTATTGTCTTATTCCAAGTGCAATGGCAAGGCATTAATGAAAGTTTTCAGTAAGGGAGGGGTGTGATCAAACTGATGTTTCAAAAAGATTGTACAGCTGGTAGAAAATGGGCTGGAAAGGGTCGAAGTGACTCTGGGGAGACCTGGGGCACTGGGTGCGAGAGTTCACCCCACCCATTCCTCGATCCCAACATCTTGTATTTATGCAATAAATTACAAATTGGGGAATGATGTGACAAGTTTCCAAAGTCATCTTGTTCTGGGCCCCCCAAAGTCAGTCCCCATCAGCAGGGAGACCCAGCTCCAGCCCTCGGGCTGGTGTCTCCAGTGGACAGCCTGGAAGCCAGCCGAGGCGGGAGCTATGGGAATTTTTGCAACATGCGTGCTGAGGAGCACAGGACTGGAATAGGTTTATCAGCAAAA